GTGGGCAGGACTTGGTTGTAAAAGTGGCCAAAACTCTCCAGGTAAGAGGAAGCTTTGTAGCAGGCATACTTTGGGTTGTAGATGGACTGTTGTCTCTCAAGGCAACCTCCCAGTGGGTGAGAGTTCCTCTCTGGAGCTTCTAAGTACATAGTTAGATGAACCTGCCCCATAGGGAGTGTCTGGTAAAGAGGAGGTAAAAGGCTACAATTGCATTTCTAAAGAGCTAAGGAAGAAGTGAGGAGAAGGGGGAAAAGAAGAGAGATTTTTTAAAAATTCATTAAACTGTCTCTTAGAAAAATGGGGATACTTGGTTACAATGTGACTAAGGAAATTTTATTTGGCTTTTATTTAAATCTAAGTAGCCACTTGTGGCTAGTGGCTGTCATTGGACAGAGCAACTTATGAGCTATTCCATGCATTTCTAGGTTCAATCAATTGAACTATTGTTCATAGTTCATTTAAATGGCAGTGATACCCATTTGAAACAAAAGAATAATCTATAGCTGCCAGGCCTGAGCTATGAGTTTATCAGCCCCACCTATTTTTGGAATACTTAATGATGACTTACAGTCATAGAAAGAGGGTTTGCAACCTCCCAAGGAGTTCACCTTGCCCGCTGCCTAGACAGAGCCGGTTCATCAAGACTGGGCAATTAGAATGAAAAAAGAGTAATTCATGCAGAGCCAGCTGTGCAGGAGACTGGAATTTTATTATTACTCAAATCAGTCTCCCCAAGCGTTTTGGGATCAGAGTTTTTAAGGACAACTTGGTTGGGGGAAGCCAGTGAACCAGGAGTCCTGATGGTCAGGGATGAAATAATGAGGAGTCGAGGCTGTCTTCTTGCACTGAGTTCCTGGATGGGGGCGCCACAAGATCAGATGAGCCAGTTCATCGATCTGAATGGTACCAGCGATCCATCAAGTGCAGGGGCCGCAAAATATCTCAAGCACTGATCTTAGGAGCAGTCCAGCTGCATGACTCCCAAACCATAATTTCCAATCTTATGGCTAATGTTAGTCCTACAAAGGCAATCCAGTCCCCAGGCAACAAGGATGTCTGCCCTGGGAAAGGGCTGTTATCTGTCACAAACCACAAACTATAAGTTTCTCCAAAGTTAGTTCAGCCTATGCCCGGGAATGAACAAGGACAGCCTGGTTAGAAGCGAGATGGAGTCAGTTAAGTTAGATCTCTTTCACTGTCTCAGTCATAATTTTGCAAAGCTGGTTTCAGATTTGTCAAATTAATTTCCATCCACACTTGTTGGAGTCTCATACTTGCTCATGGTGTGCTTTGTCCTGATGATAAGGAGAAAAAAAATAACTTCATTTTCTCCCCAGAGGCCTGCCTAGAATAGGCTCCGAGAGTCCTCTTTACTCTGTATAATTCTAGCAGATCCATCCCAATCTTGAGATATATCAGCACTGGGGATACCTTAAAAACTGTAGTAACTTTGGTTATTAAAGGCATTTTCCATCCATTCAAGTTTCCTACTTCCAAGAAACCTCTACTTTAAAGCTGATTTCACACATGAAAACAAAATACGAACACTGCTCTGCACTGCCTCCTGAGAAATGGTCTAGAGAGCTCTAATACCAGTTCATGTGCAGTTGTCCTTGCCTCAAAAAAATCTCACAACTTACAGGTTTTCAGAAAAGTGGGAGATTTTATTGTCCTGTCTAGGAGTGATACAGTATGGAATTTCCTATTTGCTACAATTTAGAATGCAGCTCCCAAAGCCTTTGACACTTAGCATATTGTTTCATAGGTAATTGTATATGCTTCTGCCTCTTCACTAGACTTTTCTTCATTTACCCAACAAATATTGAGTGCCTACTCTGCCACACCTTGTTCTAGGTGTTGGGAGCACAGCAGATTACAAGACAGAGAGGGTCCCTCAGGAAATTTAGTCTCTAGTGGAGGGAAACTGATAATGAATGAGTAAAAACAATGCAAGATAATTTCAGATAATGTTATGTGTTATGAAGAAAATAAAAGTAGGGTAATGTGACAGAGTGATGGGGGGGCTCTCTTTAGATCCTGTGGTCAAGAAATGCCTCAGATGAGGGCAAGTTTGAGCTGAGCTCTGAATATAAAGTTATCAGCTCTGCAAAGCCAAGAACAGCCTAGGGTAGCAACAGCTAGAAAGTCTGTGTTCACCACTAGAGCAGGTTGTTTATTTCCTTTTGATAACTGCTTTTTTCTTTCCTTTTTTAAGAGACAGAGTCTGACTCTCACCCAGGCTGGAGTGCAGTGGTGGGATCATAGCTCACTGTAACCTCTAATTCCTAGACTCAAGTGATCCTCCTGCCTCACCCTTCCGAGTAGCTGTTACTATTGGCATGCATTGCCATGCCCAGCTAATGTTTTTCATTTTTGTAGAGACAGAGTCTTACTATGATGCACAGGCTGGATAACTATTTTTAGTGCTCAACATAATTCTTGGCATTGAATAATAGCAACAACAAAAATAAGTAATATTCGTAGCACAAGTAAGTGTACCACGTGTTTATTTGAATTATCTTGGTTAGTTCTCACAAGATACAAGCCAGAGGAAGAAATTAAGAGATGCTAAATAACTTGGCCAAGGATTTACAATGGATAAGTGGCAAAGCAAATACTGACCTTAACTAGGCTTCTGACTCCAGAATCTATACTTCTAACTAACAAGTGAGTCTCACGGAATACCAGTATCTGCGGTGCTTCCTAATAATGCAGCTTTCTAGCATCAAACCAGACAACTGAATCCGAATCTCAGAGAGTAGGGACTAGAAATCTGAATTTTTTTTTTTCTAAGATGGAGTGTTGCTGTGTCCCCCAGGCTGGAGTGCAATGGCATGATCTCAGCTCACTGCAACCTCCTCTTCCTGGGTTCAAGCAATTCTCCTGCCTCAGCCTCCTGAGTAGCTGGGATTCCAGGCATGTGCCACCACACCTGGCTAATTTTTGTATTCTTAGTAGAGATGGGGTTTCACCATGTTGGCAAGGCTGGTCTTGAACTCTTGACCTCGTGATCTGCCTGCCTCGGTCTCCCAAAGTGCTGGGATTACAGGCGTGAGCCACAGCACCCAGCCCAGAAATCTGAGTTTCTGATAAATCCACCAGACGATTCTTATGCATACTGAAATTCAGAACCACTGTGCTTTGTTGAAAGGTTGAATGAAGCCAAGTTTGTTGGCTCACCCCTGTAATCCCAGCACTTTGAGAGCCCAAGGCAGAAGGATAACTTGAGCCAAGGAGTTTGAGACCAGCCTGGGCAAAACAACAAGACCGCATCTTTACAAAAACTGAAAAAAAAAAAAATTAGCTGGGCACCTGTAGTCCTAGTTGCTTAGAAGGCTAAGGCCTTGAGCCCAGGAGTTCAAGGCTTCAGTGAGCCATGATCATGGCACTGCATTCCTGTTTGGGCAACAGTGAGAATCGGTCTCAAAAAAAAAAAAAAAAAAAAAAAAAAGGTTGCATGAAAGAGACAAGGCCTCTGCTAGTTGTACTGCTTTGCACCACATCTGGCAAATTCCTAAGCCCCTAAACTCTAAATGCTGGTTCTCCTAAACGTTAAGTCTTTATAATGATCAGCTTAACACTGTGTTGCAACAAAGAAGAAATCTCAGAATCATCTGGGTCCTGCAGGAAGGCTAAAGAAAACTGCCTTGATAAACCCCTGTGCACCAGCATTCTCTCACCCATCCTCCACCACTCCCCAGCCTGGTTTGTTTGTTTGCTTGCTTGCTTGCTTGTTTGCTTTTGTTTTTGTTTTTTGAGACGGAGTTTCACTCTATCACCCAGACTGGAGTGCAGTGGCACAATCTTGGCTCACTGCAACCTCTGCCTCCTGGATTCGAGCAATTCTCCTGTCGCAACCTCCCCAGTAGCTAGGATTACAGGTGCCTGCCACCACACCCGGCTAATTTTTTGTATTTTTAGTAGAGATAGGGTTTCACCATGTTGGCCAGGCTGGTCTCGAACTCCTGACTGCAAGTGATCCACCCACCTTGGCCTCCCAAGGTGCAGGGATTACAGGCGTGAGCCACCGCGCCGTACCCCTAGTCTGGTTTTAACTAAGAGGGCGATCTGAAATCTGACAGTTCCAGGGAGGTCAGGCCCTGTTTACCAGTGCGAGCAAATTCTGCAGCCAGCCTCAAGACTTAGCTCCTGTGCTGAGCAAACTGAAGTGTGCTTAGGACCTTGGGCCAAGCCAGCCTTATCTCCCTGTCCCCACACTTACATACCTAAAGCAGACCTAGGCTTATGGGTGAGTCCTTCAACTGTTATCCTCCAAACTGAGGGTGACCTGGAGTTGAGCTGTGTTTTCACTGGAAAATAGGTTGGGGTCAGATTCAACTCCAGAGCAGAGATATGCCCATTTTTGCAGATGTCATATAGGTTTAGGTTTCCAGAGAAAATACAGGATGCCTACTTATGTCCTAAATACTGCATGGCCCATACTTACTCTAAAAAATTATTTGCTTTATTTAAATCTGGAATTTACATTTAACTAGGTGTCCTGTATTTTAGTTTCAAAATCTGGCATCCAGGCCCTTTGTAGGAGCATTCAACCAATGGTGGTGTCTCCACAAACATTTAAGCCTCTTATTAGAAGGAACATTAACAAGGGTCGATTTCAGGAGGACACAGTTATAATAGGAAGCCCAAAGAGTGGGTGTGAGTGCAGGAGTAGTTCTATCACTTTTTAGTTATGAGAGAACGGAGGGCTGTTGGAGCTCCTGCAGGGACTCCCCGAAATGTGTGACCAGGATTACCATCCTATTCTGAGACCCTCAGAGACATCTCTGCCGGGACACATGCCAGTAATTGAAAACATAGCAAGGGCCCCACTAGCTCAAACCAAGTTGTAGAGTTTGAGAGTCCCACCCGCCGGCCGCCCGCCCGCCAGCCGCGAGCCCTGCCCCCGGCGCGGCCACGCCCCCTTTTTCCTCGCGGCCTCCCGGGTCAGCTGGTGCTGGCGTCAGGCGCTGGGCGGGCGCGCCAGGACCTGGCAGGGCTTGTTTACTATGGCCGATGATCTGGAGCAGCAGTGAGTTAATCCTGTCCCTTTCTCTCTTTCTGTCTCTCTCTGGGCCATGATCCTGGGACTGTCTGTGGCTGAGAAACAGTTGTAGACACCTTCCCGCCCTTCCATTTCCAGGTCGGCCTCCGGGGAGGGCGGGGGGTGGGTGCGTTGCTCGCTTTGCATTTGCCCAGAGGAGGCAGCGGCTGAGCCTGGGGAGCCATGGGAGACGCGCTTTCCCGCAGCCCGGGGATCCTGGCTTTCTACCTTAGTCCTTGCGCGTGCCCTTCATTCTCCTCTGGCCTCTGGAGAGATTCCGTGTTAATGTGGGAGATCCCCGAAAGCAAGCTTGTGGGACGCGGGTGCGGAGGTAGCAGCCAGGCGTGCTCGTCTCGACTTGCCCCAGAACGGCGGTCGTGGGGATGGAGGGAGCCTCCTCCCTCCGCCTGGTAAGGAGAAGGTGTGGAGAGACTGGAGAGGTCTCCACCGCGCTGAAATTGGTGTGGAACAACGGGCTGGCAAGTTTCTTTAGCTGTCGCCCACCGAGACACGTAGGCGCACGTGATCCTAGTTGATAATGCTTTTAATAATCATAACAACATTTTTAATGCAGTGGTTTCAGATTTAGAGCTATTGGGATTTGCTACCACTCTCTCAAGGGCATCAGGTTTGGGATACCACCTGTAGGTGGTGTGACTGGCAGTTCGCAATCTGATAGGAGCAAGAAAAAGTTGCTACGAGAAGAATGACTCAGCTCCCAGCCGAGCCTTGGTTTCACCAGAACTGGGCCTTTCCTGGACCCTACTGGGTCCTGCAGAACTGGAAGTCCAGGACACTAATTAACTTTATGACCATAATTAATAGCTTGCTGGGCTTGAAAGAAATGTCCAGGGGAATGTTTTACTTTCTAAGATGACTTTTCCTAGAGGAAATTTGCAATGCTTTAAAGGACTTAGGGAAGCAGAATATTAGAACTGGAGGACATGCAGGTAGTTCAGCTCCTTTTTACAAATGAAGAAGCTGTTTGTCCATAGAAATAAGGAGACTTGCCCAAGATCACAGAGGTCTAGAACAGGATTCTCTCCCAGCACAGAACCCCTTGTGCTTCACCATCAAGTTGACAGAGACCATCCTAGCCAGGTTAAGTTCATGGCTGAATGTCTTTTCTGCTCCTTGCCTCAATTTCCCACCCCAGCCCTTACCTCCCCCATAGTTTTGAGCACATACAGTGTGCCAGGCACCATTTCCAGTGCTTTACTTGTAACATGTTTGGTGAAGAAGGAAAGCAAAGTAATTCTCCCACCAAGGACTATCTGCTGAGCAGTCCGTGATGCTGTTCCTTGGGTAGCGTTTCTCCTGAGCTCTGCTTTGGACAGTAACAGGACAATGTGGGATCCAGGTGTTATGATCTGACTTGTCACAGTCTGTGATTTGGAGAGAAAATTTGTCTCTTAAGGCTGGCAAAATCCTGTGGTCTTGGTCCCCGTGCTTCAAGCCTACAAGGAATTCCAGTAGAATATTAAAAGGATTCTGAGTCTCCCTAGAATTAGATCGATTGATATTGACAACTCTCATCTGGCTAAAACCGTTGATGTATCACTCCCAGTTGCAACCCCAGTTTTTCTTTCAAACTTCAAACATCCACTGAGAGTTGCTACTTGCAAAACACTGGGAATGTAGACAACTTGTGATTTAGCTGGGGGGAAGGAAAGTTTATTGGGAGTTTATCTTGTGCTAGGCATTATTCTATGTGCTTTAGATGCATTAACCCATTTAATCTTTATAGCAACCCTATGAGGTAGATATTATTACCTCCCTTTTAAAGATGAGGAAGCTGTGACACAGAAAAGCTAAATAATGTGCCCATAGTCACATTGCTGGTAAATGACAGTGCTAAAATTGGAACTCTGGCCTTCTGAGTTTAGATCACACCTCCCTTGAGAAAACAGATAAGTGTAAAAATGTGACTAAGTTCTGTGAATATTTGTATATGACCTTGAAAAGCTGAGGCTTGAAGGTTTAGGGAGAGAAACCTGGATTTGAGATAAGGGGTTCTAGTTCTGGTTCTTTTTTCTAACTTGTATGACCTCTTTGGGCATCAGTTTGCTCATCTGTAAAATACAGAGGCTAGACTAGATGATTCCTACGGAAACATCCTAATCTAAAATTCTGTGCTTCAAATGATGTATCAGGATGCCCAGTGTGTGCCAAGGGGATTTGGTAATGGTTCCCCTCATTCCCCCTTAGAGTACCCTACCTTGAGTATGCCAATGTTCACAGGCCCTTCCTATAGCTGTAGATGTCTGTCCTGTAACTCAGGCAGAGTTCAAGAAAAGAGAAATGTCATATAGGGTTAGCAAGGAATAATACAAACTCATTCATTGAGCATCTCATTTGTACTGGGCAACTTACAAGGGTCCTTACATATATAGATGCTCAAAGACAGGTTATTTAATGGGCCAAAGCCATTCTGCTCATCAATGATAACACCATGATTCAGGTCCAGGAGGTAGGTGGTGTGTGTGTGTGTGTGTGTGTGTGTGTGTGTGTGGTAATTCCAAAGCTGGTGCTTTTAACCTCTACTTTGCAATGTCTTAAGGTCACTGGGTGTGAAGGAGAAAGCAGGATGAGTTATCTGTTTTACTGCATGTCATGGGAGGTGAGGACATAGGTGAGCTTCCTACTCATTTTACAATCTAGAAAATAAGACCAGAGGGAACCTGTGTCCTGTCAGTGAACCATAACAGAACTTGAATCCAGGTCTCTCACCTCCTCCTCCCTGCCTACCCCATCTCCATGGGTTGGACTGATTGATTACCTGAGAGATCAGTTGGGCACAACACAGTATTCACACTTCTAGGGGCTTGGAAGAGGGCGCACATAAACACCAACCAGTGTCCTGCCAGTAGGGGAGATGGCATGGGAATTTGTCCTACTGTTAAGAAACAGCTAGTACTGGGGACAGCAAAGGATAACTGAAACATTAGTTAAAAGATGCCTCTTCCTTTAATCTCCTTGAACATAAATTATGATAATCAGTAACAAAGAGAAATTAGAAAGCTGTAGCGAGATAATAAATGTTACAGAGCTTTGTAAACTGTAAAGTATTATATACAGGGTGTTCTGAATATCTATTGAAACAAGGGGCATGTTGTTAATATCCATTTACCAAAAAGAAACAGTCTATCAGGCAGCTAGGGAACTGCTGGCTGCCATGGTGGGCAGGTCTCCTGAGGCTAGGGAACACCCTGCCTCCTGAGAACCCTTTTGTAACTCTCAGCAAGGCTAAGAGCATCAATGTTTCTTTCCATTGTTGCCAATGAGTGTCTCTGTCTCCTCCTCCCAGGCCTCAAGGCTGGCTGAGTAGCTGGCTGCCCACGTGGCGCCCCACTTCCATGTCTCAGCTGAAGAATGTGGAAGCCAGGATCCTCCAGTGTAAGTAGAATGGACAGCTTGTCCCACCTCCCTCATGGGGCCCAGGAAGGATTCAGGACCTTCCCAGAGCCTGCTACATTGAGCCCACTGATTCCTAATTAACAGTGTGTATGGAGTGGGAGGAAAGGATGTCAGTTGTGTGAGGGAAGAGGTGCATACAGAAAGCACCATATCCAATGATAGTGCTTCCTCAACATCTCCCTAGCCATGTGGATGGTTCCTGTTACTTCCTGCAACTTCACCTCAAAACCTATGCCAGTGCGAGCTAACATACACAAACACATACATTCTCCCGTTCCTCCTTCCTTCTACCCCACTTCTCTCTTCCTTCTTCTCTCCTTCTCTCTTCTCACCACACAAGTACTTCTTAGATTTACCACCTGCAGACCCTCGGACCAATAATCTTGCATTCTCTGATATTACTATTCCCGTGTTCTACCTGGTTTTGCCCCCCAAGCCCCCATCTGGTTACCACAGTAGTTTGTGATTTGCAGACCAGCTGTCATCAGCACTGTTATATTGCAGCAGGGCATCCCACTAGCAGCAGCAACTACTCACTCAAACAAGCCCCTCAAGCCACTTCTTCCCATATTTCCCATATGCTCTTCTCCACCACACCCCTACTGCCCCAGCCATAGCTACCCTTTCTCTTCTGGGCCCGAGTAAGTGCAGACAAACAACAGCCAGAGCTTTCAAGCCTCTGTCCAGGATCCAGGCTGCTTCACCCAGGCAGCTCTGCCCAGGAGACTGCTGTCACACCAGCAGAATAAGCACTGCCCCACCTCCATCTCTCACCTGAGGCTCAGTCCACACCCATCACCCCCTCCAACTGGCTGGACCACAGTTCTGTCCATCCATCAAGCCCCAAGCACACACAGGTTCAAGAGCAATGGATGCAAGAGCTCTGTGTGGTTGGTGGTGTCACTACCACCCTGGGCCTAAAGGGAGCTGGGCACACTGTTTCAAGGGTTAAGACAGTCCCGCTTACTACATACAGACTAAATGATCTACAAATGTGATTGGAATTGAATTCTTTAAAGTGTGTAGTGTTAAAGAAAAAGTGATTTTGACAGATTAAATCAGTAAAGATCATTCAAGACTATTGCAATAGAGGAGAGAGATCAGGCTCAACTCTTGAATACAGTAAGGACTAGTGGGGATTTATAACCAAGCAGCAGGGTGAGGGGGGTCAGTGGATAGAAAATTACTGAGGAAATACCAAAGATAAGGAGAGTTCTTTTCAAACCAGTTTAACAGAATCATTGCTGAAGGGAAGGTCAAAGGTGAGGGATGAGGAACTTGATCAGATATGAAGGAATTCTTACTAACTGACGTAGTATGACTTACTAATCCTGACTTAGCAGGATTCTTGCTAAGACTGAGCTAGACATTTGGAAGACAGGGCAGGGCCAGGGTCAAAGCCTAGTCAAGAAGAGGGCTCAGAAAGGCTTGCCTAAAGTTTGGTTCAGGAGAGAGTCGTTTTCAGTGGTCAGAGGGTTGTGAAAGGAAGGAGTTGAGGGAAACTGGGGAGGGTTGGGGAAGGGAGAGATGTGAAGAGTGGTAATCCAGGCAAAATGATGATACTGTCAGGAAACAGACTTGTTGACTTGCCATGGGATTCTTTCCTCCCCAGGTCTCCAGAATAAGTTCCTGGCCAGATATGTGTCCCTCCCAAACCAGAATAAGATCTGGACGGTGACTGTGAGCCCCGAGCAAAAGGACCGCACCCCCCTGGTGATGGTGCACGGTTTTGGGGGCGGCGTGGGCCTCTGGATCCTCAACATGGACTCACTGAGTGCCCGCCGCACACTGCACACCTTCGATCTGCTTGGCTTTGGGCGAAGCTCAAGGCCAGCATTCCCGAGGGACCCGGAGGGGGCTGAGGATGAGTTTGTGACATCGATAGAGACGTGGCGGGAGACCATGGGGATCCCCAGCATGATCCTCCTGGGGCACAGTTTGGGAGGATTCCTGGCCACTTCTTACTCAATCAAGTACCCTGATAGGTAATAAGGAGATGCCTCCATCCCTCGTGACCTAATTCCTGACCTTAATGGGAACTTTCCAGTATTCGTTTCCAAAGTTCTCTCATTCCCAGGCGATTTAAGGGGCTATGGCACCTACCAAAGAATATAATGTGTCTTCTTCTCTTTCTGCCTTTAACATAGAGTTAAACACCTCATCCTGGTGGACCCATGGGGCTTTCCCCTCCGACCAACTAACCCCAGTGAGATCCGTGCACCCCCAACCTGGGTCAAAGCCGTGGCATCTGTCCTAGGACGTTCCAATCCATTGGCTGTTCTTCGAGTAGCTGGGCCCTGGGGTGAGTAGCCTGTAGTATCTCCTTAAAGGAAGGCTGTAACCTTCTAGAAGCCCTACTGTGTCTTTCCCGCTTATTCCTAAAAAGTGGGAATGGGCCTAGCCTTGTTATTTAAAGCTGTTAATCTGAACCAGATCACTTTGTTCAAGGTTTGAGAAGTTTTTTGTTTTTTGTTTTTTATATTTTTCCCTTCATCGGCATGGGAAAATCTTTTCCTATGCCAGGAACAGGTGGAGCAAAATAGCTACCAGAGTTTCACTGTGTCTCCCAGGCTGGTGTGCAGTGGTGTGATCTCAGCTCACTGCAACCTCTGCCTCCCGGGTTCAAGCCATTCCCCTGCCTGAGCCTCCTGAGTAGCTGGGACTGCAGGTGTACCCCATCACACCTGGCTACTTTTTGTATTTTTAGTAGAGATGGGGTTTCACCATGTTGGCCAGGCTGGTCTTGAACTCCTGGCCTCTAGTGATCCATCCTCGTCAGCCTCCTAAAGTGCTAGGATTATGGGCGTGAGCCACCACAGCCAATGTGTATGAAATTTTATGAAAACCTGCTGGTGATTCACGCTCAGTAACCACTGAATCCTATCCCTTTGGTTCACCCAACACCTGCAGCAGGGAGAGGTCAGAACCAAAACCTCCAACATAACCCACAGTGGCAGGCAAGCCCCTCTGAACCATGCACTTGTCCAGGCAAGCACCGCATCTTCACCTGCTCTGTGTCACCTAGCACTTAATAACTGTCAGCAAATTCTGTGGGTAAAAGGGAGAAAAGGAGGTGGACGACCATGGGGAGCCAGCCATAATGATGAGTATCTCCAGCCTTCTGACCTCACACTGCCAGCACCCTTCTCTGCTGGGGAGCTTTTTACTCTGATGACGTGAAAAGCAGATTCCGTTGTGGAAAAGATTGATGACGCCTATCGTGTACTGATGGTTGTGATTCCATAGTAATATTCAATAGCCAATTATTATGAGTTAATTGCTGATGGCTAAGTAAGAGTTATCTCTCTAGGTCCTTCAATAAAAACAGAATGATTCCAGACAAAGAAAAAAAGCATTCGAGTAGAATATAGGAGTTTAGGAGTTCTGAGAGAGAGGGAGGACACCGAGACACAGATGCCAAAGGAGAGAAAATGGGCAGAGGTTCCCAGCACTGTGGTCTCCAACAGACTCCATAGTCCTTTGCCAAAAAGAAGGCCTACTTGAGCTACTCTCCCTTCTTCTCACCTCTGGCCAGGCTCGTGCAGGAGCATCAGAGCTATCATGGTTGTGGAAGTTGGCCCGCAGCCATGAAGGACTATGCAGCAGGGAGGACCAGGCCCATGCAGATCCTCATGACACCCCCCACCCAGCCCCTTCTTACCCCCCTCTTGCTTCTCATAAACAGAGAGAAGACCAGAGAGAAAGAGAGAGATCAGAGATCAGAAGTTGATCAGTAGACCCAATTTTTACAGTCTGGTTGGATGTGTGTATACCATAATGAGGTGAAAGGAACAGATCGTTGTAAAACAATCTGAGACACGAGACACGACTGTGTTTAGTTCACCTCTCCACATATTCTACTACAGGCCTGAAAATGAGAGCGCTCTTGGGAGGTGGTCTAGTTCCATCTGCTACCATCAGAAGATTAAAAGGCCATAAGGGTGTCTGGGAGAACGAGAACACAGCTCAGGCTCTAAAAGAAGAGCATCTCAGCCATGGATTCTGATGGGGAGGCCTTGTGATTCTTACAGGGATAGATCTTGGGACTTCATTGAGCTGAAAATAACCTGGCTCCTCTGTGATGTTAGACTGTCTCTAAATTCTTTGGTAATGAGCTGACTTTGTCATTTGAAGTCACCTGGAGCTTGCCAGTAGATTCCTGCACTCTTTCTGCTGCTGTAATGTTAAATGAATAAAGCAAACAAACCCTTAGGAGAAATAAGATTTAGTTAGAGTTGTTAAAACATACACAGGCAGGAGTCTTCCCTGCCCCACCTCCCAAACTGGCCACTCTGTGTTTTTCTATCCCCTCCCAGGGCCTGGCCTGGTGCAGCGATTCCGGCCGGACTTCAAACGCAAGTTTGCAGACTTCTTTGAAGATGATACCATATCAGAGTATATCTACCACTGCAATGCGCAGAATCCCAGGTGAGGGCAGCTCCCCAGGCTGGCTTGGGGCAGACAGTTGTTAGGAGAAAAAACTCTTAGCTGCTGGAGTTCTGGGCTTTATTTCTTCTTCAACAAAGCTCTGACTCAGTTAGGGAAACATAGGCACTAGCAAACCTCATCATTTCCAGAGAGTTCCCCAGGGATAGACCCAAAGGAACATAGAAGATAATAGATTCATTAAACATGCTGCCCATCTCTAGAGGAAGGCCCTCCCTGTTCCCTACAGGTATGCAATTGGCCTGATAAGCAAGAGTCTGGAAAATACTAATATTTTGAAAGATGTTTTTAATAGAAAAGGTGATACAAACATGGTTTTTTTTTTTCATTTTTAGGTCAAAAATAATTAGCAAAAACATGATATTTTTCAAAAGGAAGTCTTCTCCTGTCCCAGGCATATAGTCCCTAAATTTCCTTATTATTTCCAGTCTAAGATAGCACGTGTGCCATTTCTTCAGAGGGCCTCCATGTACAGATTCCTTTGTACACACATGTGACTGTATCTGTTGAACACATTACTACAAATAGAATTTCTCAATGAAAGAGCATGCGTTTTAAGATTTAATTATGTGCCCTTGAAATGCCTTATCATTGGGACAGAAATTTCTTTGCATCTTTGGGAGATGAGGGGATGTCCCGAGAACTCTGAAAAGTTCCTATCTGGTGCTGCTTATTGACACCGCAGGCCCCACAAGCCTACCTCCCTGCAGTTTGGGCAGCGTGGATGGCAGGGCAGTCAGGGAGGCGATCCTCTTACGTGGAAGTGCCCTGTGACTGGCTGATACCACGAGGCCATGTTGGTGACACCCCGAGCTGCTGGGAGGCATCTCAGCAAAGGCAGGCTTACTGCCCTACCCCTTTCTAAGGCTGTCCAAGTCACTTGTTGTGAGCCCAAAGCCGTGAAAAAGGCAGAGATTTGCATTCCAGTAATACTGTCTGAACGTTAACCTCAAATCCAGACAGCTGTTGGGCAGTGTGTGAGCTGTCTGTCCAGCATTCCACATGAGCTCAGCTAATTGAAGAACCCTGATCAAACAGTAGTATAGAAACTCCCAGCTCAGCAGTCACATCAGGTTCCCCTGTCTTCCTGCCCTTGGCCCTTCTCTTAGCCCCCATGGGCTCAGTGCCTGTCTCATACCTACCTGAGGCCCCACAGGCCCAGCCCTAGCTCTTTCCCCAGAACTTTCCCCATCCCAGACCTAGTTCTGTACAATGTCCTACCAACCTAAGCCACAGAGTATATAAGTCTGCAATTCATTTGTGTCCCAGAGGAAGCAAAGGTGACATCAGTGACAACCAGTTCCCTCACCCACAAACACCATCACTCAATTTTGTAACTCCCTGAGTTTTTTGACTTTGTAACCCTGACAAGCTCATGGTAACACTTATCATTTCCTTGGAAAACGTGAAATTTGACCAACGTGTTTAAGGGTATCTTCTTCACCTCACCTACACTTAGGGGCTTTGTATATATTTTTATTTTCCTAATGATGTCCTAGTGAAGTAGGTATAATACTCTACATTTGTAGATGAGGAAATTAAAGTATATTCTGGTTGCATGACTTGGTAAGGAAACACAGCCGAGGATTTGAATTCATTTGACTCCAAATTCCATGCTTTTTCTGCTATGTTACAATATCTTAAGGAAAAATTATCTATTTCTGGTGGCCTGGGCAGAACTCAGGTTCCCATTCATCTGTACATCTAAAAGAGGATGGAGATCTAACAGTACTAAACAGGCCAAGCCTAGGAGGCAGCAGTGTCCCCAACCTGCCCTATCTCTAGCAGAAGCTGTCGACCAGCCCAGAAAGCTGGCTCTGTCCCAGCCTTGTGGACACCTCATGATACGGCCTCAATTCATTCTACCTGAGCAAATGACCAGGGGATGAAATAGATTACATTGGCATTTATTGCTTCTTGCTTAACAGAAACTGCTGCTCCCCCAGTCCTTGGAAGACTGATTTTTAATTCCAGAGTCTTCTCAGGAAGCCCTTTTTACTACTATAGTACTCACTTTTAAGCGTTCACCTCAGATGAACTTCTGACCATCTCTCTAGACCCCCAACAGGCTAAATCCCCAGGCTGTGTTTTCATAGCACCCAACCACCTTTTCACCCTTCTGGGGAAATTTTAAGTTGTATTTGTTTGTTTGTTTGTTTGTTTTTGAGATGGAGTTTTGCTCATTGCCCAGGCTGGAGTGCAATGGCATGATCTCAGCTCACTGCAACCTCTGCCTCCCAGGTTCAAGCAATTCTCCTGCCTCAGTCTCCCAAGAAGCTGGGATTGCTGGCATGCACCGCCACGCCCAGCTAATTTTGTATTTTTGGTAGAGATGGGGTTTCACCATGTTGGCCAGGCTTGTCTCGAACTCCCGACCTCAGGTGATCCGCCCACCTTGGCCTCCCAAAGTGCTGGGATTTTAGGCATGAACCTCCATGTCCAGCTGTTTGTTTGTTTTTTTGAGACGGAGTCTCACTATGTTGCCCAGGCCAGAGTGCAGTGGCATGATCTTGGTTCACTGCAACCTCCGTCTCCCAGGCTCAAGCAATTCTCCTGCCTCAGCCTCCTGAGTAGCTAGGATTACAGGAGCGCAACACCATGCCCCACTAATTTTTGTATTTTCAGTAGAGACAGGGTCTCACCATGTTGTCCAGGCTGGTCTTAAACTCCTGACCTCAAATGATCCGCCCGCCTCAGCCTCCCAAAGTGCTGGGATTACAGGTGTGAGCCACTGCGCCCAGCCCAAGAAATTTTAAATTAAATAACAATTAATCATATGATTATTTACTTAATGCCTACCTCCCTAACACAGGAGCTAAAATGTGTGAGCTCCAGGAGGGGCAACACCCTACCTTTCTTGTTCATGTGTCCCCTTTCCCCGCCCAGGGCATGACAGACAATATTTGTTGAGTCAATAATAACCGATTTCATTCTCAGAGTCTTGGACAGTTCGTACTGTCATGGGGTTGTTCATAAGTGTTCCTCTGAACTCTTCTGTGATAGGAGGCCTCTGGAATTTTGGTCATCTGCTAATCTTACCAATATTTAATGAGCCCAGTGTGGGGCTTTGACAGGAATACAAAGATGACTAAGATTCTGTCTCAGTCTCTGAAGAGACCAACAAGTTGACATATTCTGCTGTGAAGTTTATTGCTGTTTTGCTTCTGACAGTGGCGAGACGGCATTCAAAGCCATGATGGAGTCCTTTGGCTGGGCCCGGCGCCCTATGCTGGAGCGAATTCACTTGATTCGAAAAGATGTGCCCATCACCATGATCTATGGGTCCAACACCTGGATAGATACCAGTACGGGAAAAAAAGTGAAGATGCAGCGGCCAGATTCCTATGTCCGAGACATGGTATGTTGCACCACCCAAGGAGTGGAAATGGTGACTGAGAGTCAATCAGCTGTCAGCCTTGGGGTAGAGAAGGGTGATCAAGAAGAAAGAGGAATGGACAAACTGAGATAGGGCAGTAGATTTGAGAAGTTTGGAAACTCTCTTTGTAATATCTTTTTTTTTTTTTTGAGATGGAGTCTTGCTTTTGTTGCCCAGGCTGGAGTACGATGGTGCAATCTCGGCTTACCGCAACCTCCACCTCCCAGGTTGAAGCGATTCTCCTGCCTCAGCCTCCCGAGTAGCTGGGATTATAGGCATGCACCACCACACCCAGATAATTTTGTATTTTTAGTAGAGACGAGGTTTCTCCATGTTGGTCAGGCTGGTCTCGAACTCCCGACCTCAGGTGATCTGCCCACCTCGGCCTCCCAAAGTGCTGGGATTGTAATATCTTAATTAGGGGCTTCCTACTTTTAGCCAGTTCAGCTAAAAGGCTGGTTATTGTCTAGCAGCCAGGTACCTGCTGCTACTCCAGCCCCCATGAAGTTTGTACCCCAAAACCAGAGCCATGGGCAGTAGAGTGAATAGTAGAGGCTGCCATGAAGCCTCCCCACCACACCTCCTCCCCTTTTTTCTTAGCCCTCTCCACCATGTGCCAATGAGTGTGCTTAATGAGGCTGGGTGCCAACCATGGGCCCAGGTTTACTGGACCTTTGGATTAAATGAGCAGATCAGTGGTGGAGCTAACATGGAAGGAAAGACATAGTGAATGTTCATCAGATAGGTAGAATGGGATATTGGGATTCATTGGCTGTCAAAGGAAAATACCAAGATCCAAGCGAGAAAGGTGGAGCATTATTTCTGATAAGAGCTGGTGGGTGGCAGGCAAGCAAGTCTAAGGGGAAAATAAATAGTGTGAAGGCTTCCCAGCACCAGGAAATAAAGGGCCATCCCACCCCTGCGGGTCCTCTCTCCACAGGAGATTGAGGGTGCATCTCACCACGTCTATGCTGACCAGCCACACATCTTCAATGCTGTGGTAGAGGAGATCTGCGACTCAGTTGATTGAGCCACTCTCTGAAGAGGAAGAGGAGAAAGCCAGAGAGTCACTCTTGCCTCCCTGTCTGCTTACTCACCCACTCTGTCCTTTCCTCACCAACTAACATGTGCCAGCCAGGCAGAGTCTTGGGCTGTTCCCAGAACAGGACCACAGTGAAAAGAACACTCTTGATCCCACACTGAAGGCTGAAGGCAGAAGCCACAAGAAGCCTTGAGTGCCACCCCCAGGGAAGAACATAAAGGGTTGCACAATGTCACCCATCCACTCCTTGCCAAGTGTTACCCAGATGGTGGAGGATGTGAAGGGATCGCACTGAGCCACATTCGCTCTCTCTGCGGCCTTTCTTCCTCTGGGCAAAGAAGGGCTTCCAGTGGCCTTTCCTAGCTCTGCGGTGTTTGTGGGGATAGGTTCCATGCAAGAACACTTTCCTCCTCCATCCCCCACTTCACCTCATCCCATACCAGTTCCATCCAGGGTCTGGTTAACCGCCAAGAGCAAGTCCTGGAGTTCCCTTCTCCTGCAGAGTCCTTTTCATGACCTAGAAGGTCTTATTCAAAAGCCCTCATTGACAGAGGAGGAAACAGGCCAAGGCAGGACATGGCTGGACCATGGTGATACAGCTCTGTGTGATTCAAGTTCTGGCTAGGGCCCAGGTCTGCCGACACCCTGTGCTTGTTGCACACTTGATTTGCTAAGGCTCGAGACAGGCACCATTGCCAAGGGGCTGGTCCTGGTCACTGGCTGAGGATAAGCCCGTCTCTGCCCCACATTCTAGCCCCACTATGTGGGGGTGCTGTTGTCCTGCCTGTGTCTCATCCCTGGCTGCCTAAGCTAGGGACACTCAAGTGCTTCCTTCCTTGCCCCATCTTCCTCCCAACTGGAGGCCTCTGAGCCTCCCCTGTGCCTTGGGCCCTGAAGCCCCATATGTAGTATAGAGCAAAGGTGGCTCCTGGTGAAGAAAGGGTGGAAAGGCCCTTCAGTCCCAGGGCCATGTCTGGGTTCTCCATGCCCATCAGTCTCTGCAGTTTCTCTACCTGCCCCCAGAGCTGAGGCCATCTGCAAGCCCCTGCCCATGGCCCAACGGGGAGCCTCCAGACACCAGTTCCCTGTCCTTATCAGCCACTGGGTGGTTCCCACTGCATGACCTCTATCCCTCCCATCTGTCCCCATGGTTTCCAGCTCAATCCACCCCCGACCCACCTGTCAGCCCTCGCCCAGGGAGCTGTTTCAGGGGTTCTGGGCAGTAGGCTGGGCCTGGCCTCAGAACTTGGCAGCTCCCGCCTGCTCCTTCACTTTTGTAAAACCAACCCTGTCACCAGAATGGCATTAACTCCTGGTGCTTTGTACTACTGGTCCAGCTGCCCTGGGCTCCTTTTCTATATTAATAAACAAATGAGTAAAAACTGCCAGTGGCAATGATGTTTAAAATTGCTCTGACAAGAGCACTGGTGGTGCTGAATTCGCAACAGCCTGTGTGATGCCTGAGAGAAGGGAGTCCTGAGGGTTGCCTGCCTACCCATGACTCCTCCTTTTAGTGTGGCATTTGCCCGCTAGACCCAGCCAGAGTCCAGGTCAGCACAGGCCCTCTCAGCCAACCACTCATGACAAATGAGGAGTCGAGATCCAGAGTGTGGATGGACCAAGCCCCAGTTCACAGGAGAGAGGCGGAGCTTAGTACTTCCTGCTGCCCATTAAGCATCCTTTCTTCCTGAGTTCCAGGGAGCCCAGCCTGTACTGCTCCCTACATCCTGTTCTAACTTCTACTCATCCTCTGGATCTCAGCTCAAAAATTCCTTATGCAGAGATGCCTTCCCCTGATTCCCTAGACTAGACTCGGACCCCTCTGTTCTGCATCTCTGTGGCATATCATCTGCCCTTTTTGTAAAACTTATAAACTTGTGGTTACTTATTTAATGTCTCTTTCCTCCCCAGACCATAAGCAACATAAAGACAAAGGGCACATCTAGCACATAGTTCATGTTCAATAAATGTTTGTTTTCATCAAGCCATGGGAAGTGAGATATACCAAGTCTTCAAAAAAAGTGTTCAAATCATTGCTAACGGTGCTTGCTCTGTGCTGGTGAGTCCAGCTGGGCCCAGAATTCCCCAGTTCCAAATGGCGCATATTCCATGTGCATAGGCTGATTGAAAAAGTATTAAAAATAAATTTTTAAAAAGGCACATGATACTGCACATGTCATGATGAATGAATAGATAGAACTCCTCCTGAATATAATTACAAAGTTCTGATCCATCTCAGGACCCTGTGTCTTCTCTGAGGATTGTTATAGGGAGGAGAAGGCAGGTATTTAGAGCTTACTAAATGCCAACCACTACGGCTACAATAGTGAAGAAACAGATAGTCTCTGCCTTCGTGAGAAATTCCAGTTCGCTCAGAGAGATGCACCTAGTCAAAATTTATGTAAATCAATGTAAAATTGCTGGAGTGCTACCCGTGAGAATTGAGAAAACCTCCTGCAGAAGTGATGGCAGCTGTGCCTGAAGGCAGGACCAGGGAAAGGGGAAGGAATGTCTGGAGAGAGGGGCGACTGCACAGGCAGGTGGCTGGGAGCGAAGGCTGGTGAGATCAGTAGGGACCAGCTCAGCAGATCCTCTGGCCACATGAAGAATGTTGTGTTCATTCTAAAAAGCAATGGAAGGAAATGAATGAGGGTCAGGGTGGGGTAGGGAGTGTGACAGAAGCAGCCTGAGATTGAAACAGCCATTCTGGCTGCTCTGTGGAATTCAGGTGAGAGGGGGATGAGAACTTTGAGGCTGCTGCAGTGGTCCATGCCAGAGTTGCTGGTAGTTTGGACTTGGCTAGGGGCTGATGGATACAGAGAGGGGAAAGATTCAAAAGATGCTTAGGAGGTAAAATCGAAAAGACTTAATATCAACGCTGCATGAGCCTACCACCCTCTTGAAGAATGGGCCAAGTGAGGCAGTAGTTACCAAACCCAGTCACATAACAAAACAACCTGGGGGCATTTTTTTTTTAAATAGAGATTCCTGAGCTGTATTCCCCAGAGTTTGATTTGGTTAACCTGAATGAAGTCCGACCATGAAATCTGCATTTAAACACATTCCTAGGAGATTCTGGTGCCCTGTGTCTCAGGAACTGGTCTAAGGGACTCTGTCTCTGACATTTGACCCAGAAGGCTGGGTAGAGTAGGGCCTGTGCCCTTGAGAGTTCATTCTGCTTGCTCCAGAATCACTTTGTTTTTGGAGGTAGCACATGTGCTGATCTGCTTTTTCCAACGCAACACGAGGCAAACACATTCTTCAGGAGCAGATGCAAGAAGAGTCTGAGAAAGGTCACCCAGAGTGCCGTTTATGCTACATGGTCTGCACGCATGGACACAAGCCAGCACGCAGACACGCACCCCATCTGACAGGAACATTCCTAACATTCCACTAGGTGGGACTAAGAAATTACTATGAACATTCCACCCAGTCAGCACAGTTTCCGGGTGGGCACTAAGGATTTAGGGTGACAGTTCAAACCATAAATCCAGACTCCTCAAATGCCTAGCAGTTTAAAAGGAGAGATTCCACAGATAGACATTAAGGACTGTGACTGAACTTAAGACCCAGGAGGTACTGCAGTGTTCAGCGACTAGTGGGAAATGTGCTAAATTTAACTTCCTCCTCAGTATAGACACCAAAGTATGTGTGCTAAAAATGTAGTCTGGTTTCATTGCCAAAAGGGTGGTGAAATCTTGATGAATACCTCTTTCTACTCTGATCCATGACCCTGCAGGTACAGTTCATGGCCAGAGAGAAGAGACTCCTACTGTTTTTTGTTTTTTTTTTGAGATGGAGTGTCGCTTTGTCGCCCAGGCTGGAGTGCAATGGCGTAATCTCAGCTCACTGAAACCTCTGCGTCCCGGGTCCAAGCAATTCTCCTGCCTCAGCCTCCTGAGTAACTGGGACTACAGGCGCACACCACCATGCTCAGTTAATTTTTGTATTTTTAGTAGAAACGGGGTTTCACCATATTGATCAGGCTGGTCTCAAACTCCTGACCTCAGGCGATCCACCCGCCTTGGCCTCCCAAAGTGCTGGGATTACAGGCGTGAGCCACCGCGCCCGGCCTAAGACTCCTACTCTTAACTGATAACAAATACAATGTCCAATGAATGGTACGCAACATTTTTTTCATTTTGTGACTTTTCAATTCATACAGAGTCCTTGGATGAGGTCTGGAGGGTCCTTTCTCTCAGTCTCCCTTCTTTTTCTGTCCTTCCTCAGGGTCCTGGTCTATCTTGCAGAAACAAGAAACACACTTGAGATTCCGAGGGTCTGTCTCAACCCCATCCTAGTGAAATATCTCAAGATAAACCATCTCCTCTCTTGCTATTATAATATTGACTTTTTCATAGCATAAGTTCAGCATTGTTATGCTTGAAAGATCCTTGTCATCGTCCTGCTAAATATCACTCTTCACTAGGGTTAAGGAGGAAAGACAATCCTCATTCCTGGACAGAATACTAAGGAGGATTAGCAGATGTCAGCAGGTGCACAGTCTGTTCCCCCATGCCACCGAGGACCCCATTCCCTTGGATGGTGACTCTGCTAAAGTCCTAGGAGATCTGCAGACCTCACCTTACTGGTGGTTGGTGCTCCTTCCTCCTGGAGTATTCTGAGGCCTGATGTAGAGTTTGTGATAATTCAGCAACCACATATGTTAGTTGGTATATGTGTGTCTTAGTCTGTTTGTGTTGCTATAAACGAATACCTGAGGCTGGGTAATTTATGAAGAAAAGAAAACCTGTCAGTTCAGTAGGCTGTACAAGAAGCATGGCATCAGCCTCTGCTTCTGGTGAGGGCCTCAGGAAGCTTCCACACAAGGTGGAAGGGTGAGGGGAACTGGAGTGTGCAGAGATCACATGACAAGACAGCATGGGCAAGAGAGAGACAAGTGAGGTGCCAGGCTTGTTTTAACAATCTCTCCTAGGCACTACTAGAGCAAGAACTCACTCATAACCACACGGACAGCACCAAGCCATTTGTGAGGAATCTGGCCCATGACCCAGACACCTCCCATTAGGCCCCATTGGGGATCAAATTTCAACATGAGATTTGAAGAGTCAAATATCCAAACTATAGCAATATGAGGTCAAATTATACACAACCAGAAGAAACCTGGGACATGCTAGTGGCTGAAGAGGATTCTAAAGGATATGGCGTTACAGGTGATAGTTTCATCTTCTCAGTTTGACCAGCTGACAACATGTGTAGTGTCTGGGAACATAATTTTTGAGAGGGCTCACAACTTAGGGTAGATTTATGGGCCTCTGATAAATTATGAGGTAACTAACACAAAAACTGGGCATCGTATACTTTCTAAAATTTTCAAGGAGATTACAGGCATGAGCCGAATGTAACTGCAAAACCATATATTATAGCAGTGGCTTCCTACATAGATATGCAGACTGGAGCTGGTCCATGATAAAGTGTTTCTGGTTCATAACAAAATAGTGCCTTTTCTTTTTAGTATTTTTAAATTCTGAAATTATATCCTTTCTAACCTTTTCAGGATTAAGGTATTGTTATTTTATAAAAAGATGCTGATACTCTATGATTTTTGGGGGGTGAGAGGGAATGTCATTTTTTGTTTCCAAACATACCAATTTTAGAAGTTTTTCCTGTATTTGTAATTAATATTATCAAAATCCTAAAGTCTGGGGAGTGCTGGCTATATTACAGAAGACCAGAGTGGGAAAGGAACTTGAATTTTATGACAAGATAAATAAGTCAATCATGTGGACCCCATGACTGGAGGAGACCGTGGAAAGATAACGCTGTTCAGAGGAAGTGAATCTAGTTGAAGGCACTCAACAATAGCGTGTATGTCAAAAAGGAAACCACAGAACTGAAGATGGAAATGTTTGGTTGGGGATAAAAGGAGAAACAAACAGGAACAGATACTAAGATAATTGGAGGACACAGATGCTGCTTTCTTCGTTCAGACTGCAAAACATCAAAAGCAAGTTACAGTAGTGCCAGAGGTCTCCAAGAATCAGGACACTAACCTGAGTCTCTTTCTGCCAGACGTAGAGCACCTAGTAAATGCTTGCTCTACTCACAATTGTGTTTACTAGAATGTTGAAAAAAGATTGTCAGATGTAATTTTTATAGATTTCAGGAAGTCAGATTTCAGAATGTTCCAAGGAAAATTATCTAGAGTGGATAAAAGGGACAGGGCATTCTGAAACATGAAGTTTCAGTTGTATCTCAAAGGATCCTGCTGAGGAAGAATGAAGAGGCTTCAGCAATCAGAAAGCGGCTGCACAGGTTGTTTCCTGACATGATCAAACTGTGGGCAGAGATGAATGTCAATTCTTTCACATGAAAAAAATGAACCTTGGCCGAGTATGGTGGCTCACGCCTGTAATCCCAG